GGAAGAATAAATGACTCCTATCGTACTTGTAATGTACGTAATAGGAAAGTTGATCTGTCAAATTAGAAATTCGACATTGGAACAGAACCTAACTTATGAGTTGCATTCATGGGAGAAAAACAAACGAAAATACTAAGAGGAAAACATAAAGAAACAAGCAACAAATACTTGCCTGTTAACAGCAATTTGTTTGTTTTATATTATTTTTGTCTTGTTTTGGTATTCGAAGCTCGCATTTTGCGTGCTCTTTGGACTATGATTTCAGAGGATAAAGAAAATATGTAAACAAGCAACCTCATAAAGAAATGCAACAACGACAACAGCGCTGTTGTTGTTGCTTTTGTTAGCAACAATAACATTAAACAACATCAAACTCAGTTTAAATACAAAATCTCCGTCCTTCATTTGCTCTTTTGGGTTCCTAACACTCAAAGATTTATACATTACAAAAAATCTTGGAAGCTAAAGAGTTCAATTTCAGAAAGGATTTCGTTTTTGCTGAAAGGAAGTATTATTCATCGCACCCTTAATGTTACTTCTCCGAAAAAAAAAACAACAACAAACGAATGTTATCAATGCTCGCCCTTTTATAAAAGGTCTACGGTAAAAGTATGTATATGCATGGGTATTTCCTGCTTTATCAGTTTGGAACTGAGATGATATTGCATACGTATCCTGGTTCATTATTTTGTTTTCATTTTAGAGTTCAGGACAGGTAAATTGTTTATTATTGGTTCAGTAATTTTCTCTTACTGTCTTTCAATATTTACGTTTACACTGTGTACACTGATGTGTATATTTGTTTAAATGGAGCAAATATATTCATTTATTACATGGCAGAGTAGTCTGATTGGTTTTTACTTGGTCGCCTTACGGACTGTTTCCATGGAGACGGTTATATGCCGTATATTTTTGTTCTCGAAAGCCGCCAAATTCAAATCTCCAACAAAAATTGAAACGTTGTTTATAAAGATTGAGCTTTCAGAGGTTAAAGAAAATTTGTGAAGAAGCTACTTAAAAAGGAGAGCAGCAACATCAAACTCAGTTCAAATACAAAACCTTAGTCTTTCATTTGCCCTTGAGAGGCTTTGTACGCTTGTAGATTTATGCATTAAATAAATTATTGAAAGGATGCAGTTCAGTATCGGTAGATATTTCGTTTTCGCTTAGAAAAAATTATTTTTCATCGCACTTTCCCTGTTATTTCTCCGAAAAAAAACTCGCTGCCGTAAATGCTCATTCTTTTATAAAGGGTTCGAGGTGCCTAACTCTAAACGTACATATCATGTGAAAATTCAAGTTTTCCTATGCATGAGTATTTCAGCGATATCAGTTTGGAGGTGATATGATTTTGAATACCTTATCTGAGTAAGTTGTTTATTATCGGTTTAGTAATTTTCTTCTAACAGTGTTTCAATATTCACAATATCATCTACGCCGTCAGGTGCATATGTGTGTTTCTTTAGATTGAGCCTATGTATCCAATAAATAAAAAAAGGAGCACGGTCGTTAAACTTTTAGCCATCTGGTTGGCTAAACGGAGCTAGGCTATCAGCATTTAATCTAGTTCCGATCTCTAGCTCCTCAGAGCTTACAATTTCGAAAGTAGCAGAACTACCATAAAATGCTTGTTATTTCCTTATTTTTCTTTTATTTCGAAGAGCAGAGGGATATTTTCACATCGAAAGCGACTGTCAAAAATTCGTGGCTGGTATGACGCGGCGTTTGGTCTCGGCCAAGGGACTTGTCAGATACTCTTCGTATATTTCAAGCGAACTCGTCGAGCATCGCGCTTTAAGTCCGTTCGCCAAGTCAAGATGTTAGCAGGCTGGCCCTCTACCGATTCTCATTGATTCTGTAACTGAAATTAAATAAGCGCCTAGCTGGTTATAACATTCTAGTCGCTAAATATGTAAAAATTCCTGCTGGGCGGCCTCCATTTTTCAAAGAGCCAGTTTACAAACAAAGCTCAAAAATCTGACTTTGCATATTTTGGCGATGTTTACATCGTATGTTCTCAACAGAAAAGTTTAAAACACATGGAAAGTACATGGCTTTAAAAGAAGGGTCTCTTATGAGCAATATCACCGAGAGAAATATTATTTCTGGCAGTTATCTTTTAAGAAGAAATTGACCAACTTTTCTGAGGACTACTCGACGTAACCACAAACATATAACCCAAATCGTGTGCATATCATCCAGATATCGAGTGCCGTGCATTCTTCCGTGGGAGTTTGAAGAACCCAAAATCCTCTGGCGATACACTGTTAACTTTTATTCACGTAAATAATACGCACTTAGCTTTTGGAGAATATTTTTAAAGGTAAATTAGTGTTCTATTATGACAACATCTCAGGGGTGGGGCTAATGCCTATAAATAGATGATGCATTCTACAGCTACCAGATGTGTGGATTCTTTATGTCATATCAGTAAGGGATTGAGATGACTTTGCAAACCTTATCATAATTCGTCATTTTGTTTTCATTCCAGAGTTCATCAAAGAGGTACAAGGTAATTTATTAGTTAACTATGATAATGAATCTTGGTAAATTTTGTTTTAACAGTCTCGATATTCGCTCTTTGCACTACACATTGGATATTTATGTAAGTTTGATGAAAGTAAATGTATTCAGTTATGAACTCCATATTTTTTAAACTCATTTTCGTGGAGCACATTCTATTGTGTTAAACTGATTTAAGCATCTCAGTGTAAATATATAATTGGCCTTGAGCTTTCGTATCTCTCTTTTTAATTCCACGCTTTTGCAGATCTTCGGCATCGTTCAGGAATGTAAAGAATTTTTTTATTTTTCTTACATTTCCTGACGATACCGTAGATCAGCGAAAGCTTGGAATAAGAAATACAGTTACTGAAGGCTTCAATCTAATCGTCCACTTAATATGTTGTGGTTCAATTTTATCCTTGGTTCAAATTTTATATTCTTTTGTTTTTGGGTAATGTAATGTATGATGGTGAGTTTTAAACAAAGGGAAATAAAATTTGAACCAAGGATAAAATTGAACCACAACATATACATAAATCACTGTTTCGCTGTGTGATTTCCATTTACCGTAAAATGTTTTAGTTTTTAGTTTTTTGCAGCGAAGATAAGCAGCTGCTTAATCAGACATTTCTGCGATAAATAGCCCTGTATTTGTTTCTGTTAACTTTATTTATGTGTAGAGTACACACTTGGAGCTAGGAGAATACTTTTGTTTTCTTGGTAAAGTAGTGTTTCATTATAACAACACTTCGCGGGGGTCAATGCTTTGAAAAAACGATGCACTCCTCAGCCACCAGATCTGTAGGTTCTCTATATAATTTCATCAAGGGATTGAAATGACTTTGCAAATCCTATCATAATTTATCATTTTGTTTTTATTTTAGAGTTGACGGAGAAGGAAAAAGGTAATTTATTTGTTACCTATACTAATGAATCTTAGTAACTTTTATTTTGACAGTGTTTCATTAATTATTAGTCTCGTTCTTTAGTGGGGTTTACAAACAAGGTGTATACACCATTAGCACATGACACCACACACCCAAAAATATTCTCAGCATGCCAGATTAGCACTGGTAACGCACCGCGTGACACAACACATTGGATATGTATGTATCTTTGATAACAGCAAATATTCAACAATAAATTTAGTTTCATTTTCTTTATTTTATCATAGCAGGTTCTATTGACTTAAACTGATGTAAGCATCAAATTAAGAATAACGCAGCTCAATGCTTAGGAAAAAAGCTGAGTTGTTCCCCGGCTGGAGGGTGTGCATCTCTGCAATACCCTCCACAGACAGAACTTAACTAATTACTTTTTAACGGCTGATATCCGTGTGATCCAACCAGCTATTTACGGTCAAATGTTATCCGACAATAGTCACGGGAAATAATTCTGAGACGGATTAAATAATATTGTTCACGTAGTCAGGTCGTTTCTTAACTTTAGCGGAATCTGACTTAGAAGTAAACTAATTTTTAATTGTATGATGGCAGCTGAGGTTAACCGTTAGCCGTAGGACGGCAAAAATTTTGTCGTTAGGCCTAAAAATTGACAGATTTTAACCGTTGGTCGTATAGGAAGTTAAACGTAAAAAAATTTTCTTTCAACCGTAACGCATGATCTTAGAATCACATCTTCAGTCCCTTTGGAGAACTATGTGCGAGGTCCTTTACTCTGCTCTATTCAATTAGTCCTGAGTGTGGATGTATTTACACTAATCGATTATTTCTATTGATACAGTTTTCGTCGTTTTTGCTGTAAGGTAATGCAAAGAAAAATTTTTTTTTTCTACACTCCCCAAAAATTCACCGATTCTGTAAATTGAACATATTAAGCGCGTAGCTGGTTAATTATAATATTCCAGTCGCTAAATATGTAGAAATCCCCGCGGGCCAGCCTCTATTTTTCATAGAAGCAATTAACGAACAAAGCTCAAAAATCTGATTTTCTTTATTTTAGCGATCATGTCTAGATGTAATTCTTTTTTTTTTTTTTTTATCAACAAAAGTTTCAAACAAATGAAGATTACATGGCTCTAAAAGAAGGGTCTCTTATGAGAAATATCCCTAAAAGAAATATCGCTTCTGGCTAACATCTTTGAAAAAAAATGGTTAGCTTTTATAAAAGACTACTTGACGTAACTACAAACGTATACCCCGAATCGTGTACATATCATCCAGATACCGTGTGCCGTACTCTCTACCGGGGGAATTTGAATATTATCATTATTTGAAAAGTATTTTTAGCAAAATCAGGTCGTATCCTAACTTTAGCAGAATCTGACTTAAAAGTAATTATATACTGACACCGCCCGTAGTCAATATGAAGTGAACGCTTGGTCATTAACTCATATGTATCACTATGTTGCACTAATAACCATATTTTAATATTTCCAAATGATGAAATGTCTCATTACATGACTCTCTGAAGACTGAGAGCTAACAACAACAGAAAAAGGGTAGCATTATATTTTAAAGACAACCTACCCCTCTTCAACTTGCATGAAACAACCACAGGTTATTATACCCGCTAACACATGATTTTAAAATTACATCTTCAGTCCCTTCGGAAATTTATGCTCGAGGTCCTGAAGCTGTTAAGGCATATGACAAAGCCTTAACGGGGGGAAAGGCCTGCATCAAGAGAATACCAGTAATGTTGATCGGACAGGAGCGGACAGGAAAAACTAGTCTCAAAAAGTCCTTAAAAGGAGAAAATTTCAATGAAAAAGAGGAAAGCACAGTCGGAATAGACACTGACTCTTTATACTTTAAAGTATCAAAAGAGATTTGGAAAAGCGGAAAGGTGAAGGAAGAAGTAGAATTTGAGCCAGAAGATCAATTTGAACACCTTGCAGCAGCGAAAGTGATCAGTGAATTTTTAAGGAAACAAAGGGAAAATTTAACGGGGTTTCGGCAAAAGTCAGATTCTGACTCAGAGTCAGATTCAGAGTCTGAGCTAGAGTCTCCGGATGGATCAAGCACAAACATTTCTCGTTATGGCTCAACTAAGCCCTCAAGAAATATCGAATCTTTACACGGAAAATTGCCCGAGGAAGTAGCCAGGCTGGTTGAAAAAATGCTTCAAGAGGAGGAAAATGCAAACCATGAAGACTACATCTACTCAGTTCTATGGGATTTTGGCGGACAGTCAGTGTACTACGAAACCCATCCAATCTTCCTCACGGAGAAAGCTATCTACATTTTGGTGTCTGACTTGAGTCGTGATCCAGACAAGAATGCCATCCCGCCTGTCAAAACAGGACTTTTCGAGGACAAAGTGGACAGTGACTGCAGTAAAACAAACCTTGATTATCTGGACTTTTGGATGTCATCAATTTATTCCTTGGTAAGTGCAGATGTTCGAAGCTCTCAAGAGACTGCTCCGAATGTTGTGCCACGGAGGCTTCCCCCAGTATTCCTGGTATGCACCCATGCTGACGTGCCGTTTGATGGATCTAACGCAAGAGACCTTGCTTTAAAAACGTACGGCTTTCTGCAGCACAAGACCTACAAGGAACATCTGTATAAAGATGTTTTCGTCGTGGATAATACAAAGTCTGGCAGTGAAGAAGAATGTACTGAGGTTAAACGGCTGAGAGAAGAGGTGCTTGCTGTTGCGAAGGAGCTGCAACTGACGAAAGAAGAAATTCCGGTGAAGTGGTTGAGGTATGAAAACAAGCTTCGCAAAAAGCATGACAAGTGGATAACACGTGAAGAAGCCAAGTGGATTGCATTTGAAGACTGCGGGATCCAAGAAGATGATGAGTTTTCCACTTTGTTGAACTTTTTGCATGATCAGAGAATTGTGATTCATTTTAGTGGCTCTCCAGAGTTGGAAAGGATGGTGATATTAGATCCTCAGTGGCTTGTTGATGTCCTCAAAAGCGTAATCACTGTAAGACGTTTTAAACACACGGAGCATCCTGTCAAAGACCTGTGGATACAACTTGAAGAAACCGGAATCTTGGATGAAAAGCTCATTGACCATGCTTGGAGAGACTTGCTCGACAACCAAGAAAGTCACAAGAGCCTCATTGCCATCATGGAGAGATTAAGCTTGATTTCCCCCTGGCCGTCATCTAAAGACAGCAAGCAGTACCTTGTACCGTCCATGTTGATGTCACCCCCAACAGATGACGTCCTACAGCTTCTCGACTCTGTAAACTTTCCATCTCTTTTTGTAACATTTGCATCAGGTCGAGTGCCTCCTGGTCTATTCTCCCGACTTATCCTTCATTTCCTCCAGTGGTGTGGTGAAGAATGGAAGAGCAAAGTGAACCCAGAGTTGTTTCATAATTTTTCCATGTTTCACATTCTTCCAGACCAAGGTATCTCCGTTATTTTTTGGTGCCATTCCACAGCCATTGAAGTCGCCGTTTACAGCGGAGGCAATGACGAGAAAAGAGCCGATATCTCCCGTGCTGTTCACTGGAAATTGAGGTTTATACTCGAATGCATGCGGAAAGAGTTTCACTGGCTCAACAACGTGAAGTATGATATGTGTGTCTGCTGCCCTGTCTGTTCTCGACCAGGGTCGGTAAAATGCCGCGATCATGACGTGCGTGGATGTGAGTGTCTACACTTCTTGTCAGAATCTGATTTGAGACAGCGTCAACATTGTAACAGACAAGGACGCAGCCTTCTTGGGGATCGCAGGATTCGGGTCAAGCAGTTTGAATGCTGGTTCTCAGGCGGAGAAGAAGGGGAGGATGCTGGAATACCCACGAATCAGGTACGTTGTCAGTCCCATCCTCTTCCTTAGTTTGATGAGACGCTAATACTTTTTAGGTTCAATGATATTTTTATAAACTGGTTTAAAAGTGGATTTAATTTGTTTTCTTAGCAGGTGCAAGCTCTTCACACAACAAGTCATGGAGGTTACCTCGGTGCAAAAGGCATATTTTCCATAGAAGGTAAAGGTAGCTATCTTTCATGTCATTATATCATAATAACAATGTCGTACCTAAAGAAAGAGCCAACAAGATCCCTTCTCGTATAATTTTAGGAGCAATTTTATTAATACCATTGTTTCTCCTGGAACAGACTTTTAACCAACTCAAAATATTTGGGTGTCAGCAAAATACATTCCGTCTACTTAACTTTCTCTTATTTCATTTAATTTCGTTTTTCGTTATTTCAATTCGTTCTAAATCCTTTTCAAGGAAAGAAACGGAAAGATCTTGCGCTGCCCGATAGTGTCAAAACCTCCATCCAGTCCATTCCACTCAACTCAGGAAGTGATGTTAAGGACATTGTGATTCAGTTTCAAGAAGCTCTGCAGTTGGAACCAGCATCTTTAATCAGTCCAGAGCCAGAGACGAAAAGTGTGATTCGTGGCCTCGCCTTGAGAGCTAAATCTGAGAAACGGGATGATTTGGTGAGACACTTACGAGAGATTACACCTGCTGGTACTACTGGTGAGTTCAAAAGGTTTTTTTTTTCCGCATGCAGGAGGGGGAATAAGAGATATAATATTAAGATATAAAGAAGTACTCACACAAGCATCCTCTCAATGCAACATTAAAAAATAATATCGAGGTGTTCTTGATTTTAGTGTGTAGCTGTATTTGTTGATGATGCCCTTTTGATCTGCTTTAATATATTTTTTCATTTTGGTTTAAAGTTTTCTAAAATAAATACTGCTATATTTATCTCCCTTTCCTGTTCTTTTGTCTCTACAGGACCGTTGTTGAATGAGGATATGTCAGTTGGTTGCATGCCACATAAGCAATACAAGGATTTGACGTTCAGCCTCTCGGGTAAGGAATAAGTTGGCGTCCGCACACCCATTTATTCATAAACTAATTTTAACCTTTGATTCAACTCATAGGTTGTCATAGCAGATGCGTTTTCAGATCATATTCCAGCTAGATTAATTCATAGCGAGCTAAATTTCGACAGCTTTCGTCAAAACCCTTACCAAAAGGATGAGATGAAAATAATTTAGACGAAATTTGGAGGATATCAGGCGCCAAGAAAATGTTAGCAATGCAATTTATGCTATTTAACCATGCGGTCTACGACAGAGTTTGATTTAAGGTCAAAACCTGTGTTTCAATTGAAACAAAATTTATGAGAGAGCATAATATGTTTTTCTACGAAGGTGGAGACGAGTGGAAACTGTTGGCAGAAAAGCTGGGTTTCTCCCAAATTGAGATTCGCTTTTTAGACAATAGAGTTGTGAATCCCTCAGACGTTGTCCTTGGCGCTGTGGGAAACCATCGCCACCTGAGTATTGGAGAAATCTATGACGCATTGGTCGACTGCGAGTTACCAGCTATTGCTGATCTAATGTAATTAGAATATGAACAGCGGACAAAGATGAGCCACACAGCAAGAAGCAGAAGCGAAAAGCAAGGTAGTGACCGACGACGTATTAGCAAAACATACATGGAACAATGTAATTACTGAAATTTTAATCGAGGTGTTAGAGCCTCAACCTGTTTTAAACACCATTTTAGCAGTTTTATAGTCATTTGCAATTGCCTTTTTATAAAGTAAAAAGAAAAGAAATCATAGATCACATTTGAAATTAAGCCTTCATTCATCTAGCGGTCAGATGACAGGCTTTCTTTAGTTTTCCATTTGGATGTTATACTAGTTTTTTTAATATTTGAATAATTATTTCTATTAATCTCCATATAAGACGTTTGTTACATTGCAAAAAATAGTACAGAGATCTAATCAAGCCTAAAAGCAGAGCTCCAGTTTGTTTTTTATTTGTTTGTTGGTTTTTCGTGCCTTCATTTAGTATTTTCGTAGAGGGGTTGGTTAGAGTGGTGTGGGGGGGAAAAAAGTGGTAATCCAAGGTATTTTACTGCAGTTAGAGGGTAGGAATTCTTTATTTACTCAATATACAAGGGGTTTTGTACAAAATGCACCAGTAAATCTAATTTGTCATTTCTAGCGAACAACAAATTTTAACATGGTGAGGACATACCGAAATAATACAGTTTTGCATTACTTTTATGTCTCATTGGCTATAGTTTTGGTGCTAATCAATTCACTTCTTTCTTTCTGAGTGTTTCGTGCAATTAATTGTTAAGGAACAAGAACAAAATGTTCATTTTATCAGGATATTGCTACAACATAATAGCAGGGATTTACGGTGCAAGGAAGGGATGGAATCTCCCGCTAAAGAGTTCAAATAAATAACGTACAAGACTCGTTTGAAATCTAATCGTAAGCAGCAAGTTTTTCCTTCTTATTAAGCATCGACGAACTTTCTTGAAGCGCGGAGCTCGAATGAAGTAACCCGGTTTCCTTGCACATGTAACGTCTCTGTATTGATATCCAGTTTTCATATTTTCTTGACTAATTCACTGTTAGAAAACAATGATTTCGTAGTTAATAGCACATGTACATTCAGTTCAACATCAGATTATCCTTTCAGATTACAGTTACCCATTTATACCGTTGGGTAGGGAAAGAGGTTTTGAGAGTGAAGTGCAGCGATGAAAAAAGTAATGATTCGATCATCGGTTATGCATAAATTAGTTTTGAGTTTAACTACTGTAGCAGCACATCTTATCTTACGCTTGACCTATATGTATACCTTGTATGCCAATGTAAAGCCAAAATAAAACCGTGTGTGTTTTAGCTTATCATGTGATTGAATAAGAAAATTATTAAATCTAAGTTTGCTGGAAGAAAATGAAAGATCAAGTTGTACATTTTTCCTATTCCATTTCTTCAGATTTCCCTTTTAGCCGAGGTTAACCATTCATACTCCTGAATAAGGAAAGACATTATGAGAGAAACGAGTCTCTGATTAAAAAGACAGAACACAATGAGCTGAACAGGGCAAATGAAGCTATTCACCATCACCCCCAGTCCCCCTTCCACAGCTCCTCTCCAGTGTCAAGGTCAGTTAAGGACCTTCTTGACCTTTTATCGCTGCGTTTAGTCATTGCTGAACATAAACCAAATTCAAGTTGATTGTTTTCTTTAATTACCCTTTGATGTAAATTGTTACCAGTGCTAACTTTGTCTTTCCCTTTTTCCTAAATTGAACCTTCTTGAACTTGATGAAGATATAGTTATTTTTTTCACTTTAATTTATTGAATCTATTTATTCTCAATGTCTGGACACCTACCGGTCCTCAAGCTGAAACTATCCTTGATCTAATATCCTTGCTCTGTAAATTCAACGATTAAACGAACGATTAAATAAGCAGAAAATGAAACAGACTGCCCAAGCATGACATGCTGGTTGGTTTTTGTAACTTTATAGCAATAACTGCGAACTGCAATTCGACGGAGAGTTGCACGACCAAATTGAAGTGACCTAAATGAACAACCACAAAAAAGACAAAAATTACCACTGGCATGCGTTTTTATTATTCTTCACTCCCTGCCAATAAACTTCAACTCGTATTAAGGATAGCGCTGACGTAGTTCAAAAGCTCTGATCCGGATATTTTACGAACACATAAATTTTGTAAAGTTATGTGGGTCACATTCTCGAAGTCGAAGCTTGCGTGATAGTTCTCGTGGAAATAAAATACCAAACTGCAATTTAGGCATGTGACTTTATTAATGTCACAGGTATCACCGAGAAGGCTTTCAGTTTTTAAGGGCACTATGATCTTACTCCAATAACATGGGTCAGGTGGCTGCTCCATATATTTTAATTGCTGGTTTTTTTTTTTTTTTTTGAAGAGCACTCAATTTTCAATTTTCGTCATCTTTTCGTTATTTGTATTTTTTTCCAAAATGAACTGTCAGGAATGTCTCAATAACTTTGAAATTCTCGGTGCGATTTACGTACAATGTTGTGAGAGGAAGCAAAGTTCAATCCTGAAATAGTATATTTTATATGTACATGATATAATTACAGAGAGAGTGCAGCGGGATCTTCCATGTATATTGGGCTTTAGTGAGAATATCGTGTAATTCACACTTCTGATCAGTAAACATAAAAAGCTCATCCGTATTCCAACGACTTAGTTTGGTCTCTCTACTTTGTATATACTTAAACGAAAGAAATGTTTTAATTGTGTGTCCACGAGAGCACCGGACAGTCGTGCTACATGCCATCTCACCGATTTCAATGAAGCTTTGCCAGTTTAAAGGGTCTACCCCAAAACTCAAAAAGACAGTGGTTTCTGTTTTGGTTTTTTAAAGGGAAGATAGACAACCCCCCGGTTTTTCTTGGTTTTCACTGAGGAAATTGCCTCAAAATAAAATGTATGAAGCTCTCACTGCAATGGTATGTAACCAATTACTCTGAGGGTTTGCACACATATTATATTTGACAACTTTGAGGTCCAATATTCCCCCTTGCCAGAAAGCTACAACACTAATCTTAATTCCCCTTGATAATCCATCATTTCATCTCGGAAAATCATCAAAAAATCTTTGGGCGCTACTGTATTTTTGTCTTGGACGCCTTTTAAAATCTGTGACGGTGACAAGTTTCTCTCAACTACACCTGTCACGCAATTATGGCTCTAGTTGGTCACTTGACCAAATAAACCTACATTTTTTAGCTCTTCATACAAGATGATTGATTAAGAAAGCCAAAACCTATGAAAAACTTTCGTGGCGTTGCGTTTCTTTCTTATGTCGTTTATTACTTTGGAGATTTGCTAAAATCAGCAAATATGGCTTTTGTACGGCACAAAACATTCATTAGTCTATAATTTGATTGTTTATCATCGTCACTGCTCATTTTAGGAGATTTTAAAGTTACACGCTGCGTGTTGGTTGACATTATTACAAGTTCCAGTGTGCTACAACTTCGGCTTCTACAGACGAGAAATTTTGCGCTCTCGCATGAGAGCAAATATCAATAGCTCTATCCTTATCTTAACCTGAGAAACATGCTGCAAGGATTTCTGACTGAGTATACATCGGAAAAATAGCTTTCATGTTTTAGAATCAAGACGTGTTTTCACTTTACTTTGTTTTCTTTTTGTACAAGTGAAAACTTTCATATTCAGGTCGGAAAACAAAATGCTCAGTGATATCGCTCTTTTAAAAAGGCAGGCGTCTAGTCGGTGGTTTCTTATGTAATTGCCAGAGTGCTATTGGTCAAAGAACCATAGCTTGAGTCAAACGACATGAAGTTTTTTATCGATTTCTTCTCGCCTACAGATTGCTTGAAGTGTCTTAAACACCGAGATCGATCTTTATTAAAGAATGAAAATAAAAGGATCGACAATCTCCAAATGAAATTCGCAAATACGTGCGCACTCAAAACATGCCTTGAATCCCTATAAAACCAAGCAATGGGCTTAATTTTCAACAGACAAAGTTGTCAGTTATTGCATTGGTCCTTAGCGACATAAGAAATCTCTCAGGTACACTGCCAAAATCAACTTGTGGCAAATCTTTTAGTTGTCGACTTTCGTTCTTAGCCGCTAGAAATACCATTACCAAAGCCACGGAATACGTAACTTTCGGTTTTTGTTTTCATATTTTTGTTTTTTCCCACTATAAGTTATGTTTGAACGTCAATTAGCGATACGTTAGCACTACGTTAGCGATACGGATTTTTTGTGTTTAGCAGCCATAACCCGAAAAGGTTCCGAAAAACGACCTTGGATTGAGATGGAGTGACGTGAAAGGTGAGTGACGTGTCAGCAGCTGATTGGCTATATCAAAAACACGTGAAAAAGTATCGTATTTTTTTTCACGTGTGATGTTACAGCTTTTCTCAGGGCTGGAAATCCTTGTATAACACCTTAGTTTATATGATAATAAGGCTTAATTCACTCTGTTTTGATGATCTTTGCATTCATTGTTAGAGACAATGTGATAAAATTAGCTCAGGAGCCCCTCAAACTAGTTCTTCAAAAGCAAACCTTCGATCAAAAAGTACATTTAAAAAGTAACCCTTTATATGAATGTCTTTCAAACATAACTTTGTCCAGTGTTTCGTGAATACAAATCCAAGCAACAAGAGAGCACCAAAATATTTTTTTTTATTTGGCAGTAGTTGAGTAGCTTCTAAATGCAAAATAAATGAATACGTTGATTTTAAGTTAATGTTTCTAGCCAAGCTAAGCAGGATTAATTGAGGTAAATATGGTATCAAGTGGAGTAGGCTGAGTGCTCTTAGACCCGTGCTGTGCGGGCCTCGCCAGGCGCCTGGCTTGCGTGAATAATCATAATATCTACCCTGTTTCTGTTGTCCTTCCAGTCATGCTTCAGCTGCCAGTAGATGGAGTAAAGAAAAATACAATAAATGACTCCAGCTCCGCAATAGGATCCCCCGACTACAAGCCCGCTTGAATTGGTCATTGGTCGTGGTTCTGGAAATTGGTGACTCTGTTCTTCTACTTCATACCTATCTAATGGGGAAGGACAAGTAGGAGACAGAGAAAGACACAATTATTTCATTATTACAAGAGAAAATAATGGTCCTATTATTTTCTCTTGATGATAAGTAATGGTAATAGGACTGAGTGAAGTGCAATTCGGTCTTTAACCATACGAGTGAGAACAAAATCTGACAACCGTGAAGCGGAAGTCCGATTTGTCAATCACGAGTATGATTACAGACAGAATAAGAAGACACGAAGTTCTATTGCCAACTAATCATAACCGTTACAACTTCTGAAAAAACCAAATACATTTGTCGGATCACTGTCAGTATCTGAGCAAGTGCGCATCAAAACTTCACCAAACAATTACAGAGTTGATCCCAATAACCATAACAACAACCACTTATCCTGAAAAAAAAAAATGGGTAGTTTCCAAAATGGGGGAATTTTTTTCTCTCGACATTGTCTCAACGGGAGATGTTTGGCCTAAATTTATCTGTCTTATTGCAACTGTACAGAATGATTTGTGAAAATAAAGCAGCTAACACGCCAATCACATTTCAGTAAATTACAATGGTTATCATTATTAGTATCATTGTAATTATCAGTTCTATAATTATCATACTCATAATTGTTTTTATTGAATCATAAGCTAAAAAAGAATAGTGCAGATAAAGAACGTGGCTGAAATCCCTTGTCAATACAATTACAACGTTTATCAAAAAATTATCATTTGTCTGAATGAAGAGCATTTTCTTACGTTACTGCAAGTAAATTACGTTACTTTGGTCTGCTTTTGTTTATGTTTGCGTGACATCCCTTCGGAGTCGAAACGCGGAAGTAAAAAATAATAATCAACTCCCTTTCTTAGATATATTTACTTATTCTAGCAAAGGTACACAGAAGAACGGAAGAATAGTGATATAATCTGTTCACAAATTTCCTATACATGCTTACGAAACCGGGTAGGGAGGGAGGATAAATTTTAAAACCATAAAACAAACTGCTTCGGGACGGCCCAAATTCAACTCTCGTCAAACAGCTAGATCGTAATGAACACATTCGATACAATTTACGTCAAACTCTACGTGCTCCGGCGCTAAACGTTATTAAAGATATCTTTTCAAAGAATGCTTTGAATCGAGGCCGCCTCGATACTGCTACACTCCTGTGATTGATTTTATTCACCTTCGTACTTTCCTACTTTCCCTGGGTCTCGGCAGACCAAAAAAAGCAAAAGCCGCTTCTTTTCCTGGTGCCAGTAACAATTTCCGTGATTCGATTGTCCTTGCTGTAATGCGCATTCGATGAAGGTGAAATTCTCCCATAGGAAC